TATATTAGAACATTACATGGCATAAAAAAAATAAACCAACAGTATACCCCAAGGTCCACCTGAAAATATTTTAAACATGGGTTTAATAACATATTAGTGAATACCAATCAGGCCAAAATTAGCATAATTTTAAAAACAGTAAAGCTAGGAATAAGAGACAGGTATGTATCTGGGGAGGGAGCAGAGATGTAAAGAAGCAAAACTTTATCATGGCTATTGACAAATCAATTGAAATGGCTGAAAATACAGTTGGTGCAGTAATGCGAACTGAGATGCTACGAAAGCACCGTTGAGACGTGAGTGAATTAACACAAACAAAGAACAACACTCAGCTTCTACAAGAACTAAATGTGGCGGCTAACGGGGAATGAGGTTAAGAGACTTATTTTTTGGAGTGATTGTGTTCTGTTGTAAGCATAGCTTTAGTAATCTTTAAAAATTAAAAAAAAAAACAACCTAAAATTCAAATGTATTAACTGCAAAGCCTCCAGGTTTATTCTGCAAGCTGTATTTTGCATGTCTAAGTTTTCTGAACAATGGAACTCATCATATAGTGAGCCTGGAGGCTGGCACAAGCTCTGGATGTCAGTGCCTCAGAGAGTGGAAATGAAGTTCTCTCAAAACAAGCAGCTATAAATTCCAGATATGTTGTCATGGCAACGGAAGCATTTTAATAAAGTGCGTGTTTGCCTAAAGAGCTATATTTACTGAGAAAAGCTTTTCAGTAAGTACATGTCAAGTTGGAATAAGTAGAGTACATTCATTACAATCCAAATCTGGATTTGAAAATGGAACAATTACTGTAACCTGGTCTCGCATGCCATCTTCCCAAGTGGGCTATTCCCACCTTCCTGTTATCAATGCCCAGGAAATGTGGGGCCAGAACATCTCAGGAAAGGTGGGGCCGAAAGAATAAGAAAGACCAGAGGTAGGGGAGATGCTATGGAAACGCTGTTCTCTGGGCATGGCGTGGCTCTAGTACACATGGATTCACAATGGCTCTGGTGGCCTGTATAACCAAGCCAATTACAACCCCAGCATGGATGACGGAGGGACACATGCGACCCCACATAAGTGGGACTCTGCTGGCAGTTGATGGCGAGGACACAGGGAGCCATGGTGTGTGGCTCCACACCTCTGAGCAGCACTGACTGGACGCCCTGGGTTACAGTTAAAAAGGGGGCATGAAGTCGGGAAGGAGATGTCCTGTGGGAGGCTATGGAGCTTTAATGAGAAGGAGTGGCGGTAGATATGATCAAGATATAGTATATGTATGAAATTTTTGAAGAATAATTTTTAAAAGGAAGAAATGATTATTGGATAGAGTTTCGAGTTGATGGCGTACTTCAAAAGTTAAGTCTTATATAGAGTATGGTAGTACATTAGATTCAGCACTGGGGAGGCAGAAGCAGGTGGATCTCAGTGGATTTGAGGCCAGACTGGTTTACATAGAGTTCCAGGCCAGTCAGGACTACATAGTGAGACCCTGCCTCGGGGGGGGGGGGGGACTTAGAAAAAATAAGCTTGTGGTTACTAGGACTGAGCCAGCAACTTAAACATCACTTGAGATACTGATTTCTAGGAACAAATGCATTTGGAACACAAAATACCTTTGTGGTAAGTGGACTCTAAGGATTCTTTCAGGTTCTGATGTTAGCAATCGCATGGATTTGCATTTTATTGCAAATATCTGCACATGAACTTGGGTACCTACAGAAGCGAGAGGTGTCGGAGCTTTTATAGCTGGGGTTACACTGCTTGTAACTACCCAGGATGGGTCCTGGGAATTGAACTCTGGTCCTCTGGAAGAGCAGTACTCAATCTTAACTTAGCCATCTCTCCATGACCCAGGCTGGCATTGTAAAGCGTACCCTACATGCCTTTTTACTGGCTTTCATTCTAACTAACCATCATCATTGTTGCACTGTCAGATTCGAAATAATCTGAACAACCATTCTTGCAACATTACTACGCGCATGTGGTGGCAGCCCGGGTAAGGATCACTGCTTTGGTGATGCTGGCTCAGGTTTTGTACCGGTTGCAGAAGTGCATGGATTATAACTGTTTCGTTTTACTGAAATGAATATCTGTCTTTTCGGTAATTAATGGAAACCACATTCTCTATCTTATTTAAAGGAACAGTATTTTTAACTGTTTGTTTGAGATGGGGGGTCTGGTTATACAGAGCATGCTGGCCATGGAACCCATGAGAATATGCCTGTCCCTGACCACGGAGTGCTGGCATTAATCCCTCCAGGTCAGGGGACTGGGAAAGAAGCTGCTCAGTGAGTAAAGTTCTTACCACACAAAAGTGAGGAGACCTGAGTTCAGGTCTCCCAAACCCGTGTGAAAATGGATGCAGTTGGATGCATCTGTAATCCCAGAGCTCCTATGGTTAAGATGGGAGATGGGGACTGAGTCACCAGCGCATCTTCTTCAAGCATGCCTTCACACCATGCGGCTTGCAGGATTCCACTTATCCAAACAAACTCACTTTACCCACGTCTAAGGGATATACTGCCAGGATGGGTGCAGTCTGTACCTGTGGCACAGAACCTATAGAGAGGATGGGGTACAAGCTGTGCACAGCCCCCTACTTCCATATTCCTTTACTTTGTCCCCATTCCAGCTCCCTTCACCCTGGCCCTTTTACGTGGCTGCAGTGGAAGCAGGTTCTCCTGAACATTCCATTCTGCCAGCTTCGGGTCTATTAGGAAGGAGAATCAGCTACCAGGCATCATGTACTTCTTAGCTTCCATACATCTTGCTCCTGACCTTTGTGCCTGTGTACTTTGCTATTCTTAGACTAAGAGGGAGTAAGGGTTGAGTAAGTTCAGCCTGCCGTCTTTATCCAAAATGCGCAAGTGACCAAATTTGTGTCATCTGTTTATTAAAACATTTGTTTTAATTTTGTTTATATGTCTCTCTCTCTCTCTCTCTCTCTCTGTGTGTGTGTGTGTGTGTGTGTGTGTGTGTGTGTGTGTGTGCACTTAGAAGCCTATGGGGCCATAAGAGATTGTCATATCCCCTGGAGCTACAGGCAGTTGTGAGCCACAAAGTATAGGTGCTAGAAACGGAACCTGGGTCTCCTGGAAGGGCGGTAAGCATTCTAAAAACTCTCAGCCATTTTTTCAGCTTCTCTCCCTTTCATTTTTTTCATTCTGGAGCCCAGGCTAGCCTGGAACTCACTGAATAGCCCAAGCTAGACTTAAACTAGTAATCTTCCTGGCTCAACCTCCTGGAATTGCAGGCATACACCACCACAATCAGCCAGTAGCTACTATTTAACAGTTAAGAGATAGCATATTCATCTTTTAAATTTGTCACCGCATCCTTATTTCTTACTCTTTCTGGATAACTTGGAGAGACTTTAGCTAAGAAGTGCCCATTCAGTGTTAATTATCATGATTTTTATTGCATTTCATTCTGTTATCTTAGACCTCCCTCTTGTGCTCTTGAGACTGTCTCTTCAGGTTCTGCCTGAACATTCTTGTTTTATTATGGTTACTACTGCTGTGATGAAACACCATGGCCAAAAGCTTACAGCCTCTAAGTCCATCATCCAGCGAGGTCAGGGCAGGAACTCCTGCATTCCTGCAACCTGGAGGTAGGAGCTGATGCAGAGGCCATGGAGGCGAGTTGCTTCCTGGCAGGACTAGGCCCTTCCTCATCAATCATTAATCAAGAAAATGCTCCACAGTCTTGTCTACAGGACTGTCTTATGGAGACAGAGTCTCAATTGAGAGCCTCTCTTTCCAAATGACTCTAGCTTGGATAGAGTTAGCATAAAACAAGCTAGCACACTTCTCCATTCTATAGACAACTAATTGTCCATTTCTCCTGGCTTTCTTCTACTTCTAACTGCCTTTCCCTGGTCTACCTCACTATCTCTCTCCTTTTTAATTTATTTATTTACTAATTTATTTATAGTATTCTGCCTGCATGTATCCCTGCTGGCCAGAAGAGGGCACCAGATCTCATTACAGGTGGTTGTGAGCCACCATGTGGTTGCTGGGAATTGAACTCCGGACCTGTGGAAGAGCAGCCAGTGCTCTTAACCCCAGAGCCATCTCCCTAGCCCCTCTCACTATCTCAGTTTAAGAAGGTGAACCAAATTTTCTTCAGCCTTAAACTTCAGTCTCAGTCTTCTTAAAAGCTTTTATCTATTTTTCCTCCTTTTCCTCTTTGATCCTTCCTGTTCATTTGTATACAACTGCTTTTAGAGCCATCCTCTGCAGCTTGGTTTACAGAGCCAGTGCCAGAACAGTCTCCAAAGCCACAGATACCCTGTCCCGAATAAACATAAGTAAATAAACCATCTTCTCTTACCCATCCTCTTTTCTTACACCTGTTCTCTCCCTCCTTCTACCTGTGTTGTTGTTTCCATGTGAAGTGCCCTCAGTTTCCATCTGAAGTGTCCCCAGTGCCCGCTACTCACAGACTTTCTGGCTAACCATGGGCTCTGAGGGGGTGCTTGGGCCACAAGGGTGCTGATCTCACCAGTAGCTGAATTCACGCAGATTTGTGACTCAGTGGCAGCATTGGGAAATGGTGAGGCGGAGGTTGTCACAGCCCATCTGAAAGAGGTGGACCACTGGGAGCCTTCATCCCCTGCTGCACAGCTGCTGTGAGATGACACCTGCACTGCAGGTTGCCTGCCACAGTGTTCTGTCTCCCCAGTCTCAGAACTGAGCAGGGGCTGAAAGGAAACTTGGCAACAAAAGAAATTCCCCATGCTCTAAACTGATTTCTCCTGGGTATCCTGTCGCAGCAATAGGAAAGCAGTAGACAGACTCAGATAGCTAGTGCACATGTCCCTTACATGTAGAGTTCCAGTTCAGCTGGCTGCCTAGAGAAAGAGCAGCTAAAGGTCCTGAAGATGTCTATCTAAAGATTCTTCCTGGTATCGGGCGCTTTTTTATTTTTCCTTTATTAAAAGTGACGTGGTGCTTTAATTTTAAAAATTGATGATGTCAATAAAATGTGACTTTAATATTTAGGCAGGTGCAGTGAAGGACTATATCAAGATGCTGCTTCAGAATGAGTCTCTTAAATTTCTGGTCTTTGCTCACCATTTAAATATGCTCCAAGCGTGCACAGAAGCAGCCATCGAAAACAAGGTATTGTGATATTTTTCTATAAAATAATTTCCACTATGTGAAAAAAATGCATATCTTCATTATACTGAATATCTTTCAATCTTATGATGTATGTGGATTTTTTAAACCTTCTTTGGATAGTGTTTTTAAAATACATTGTCTTATCAATAATTTATTAAATATTTTCTTACAAATCTTGGTAACATCATATTAATACCAGGGCATACTGTCTTCTTATTGATATCAGTCTTAATTGTTGTCCTCTGTCCAGTTTATCTGAGTCGTTAAGGCTATCCTGTCTCGACTCCATAAGGGATTTCCTTCCTGTCCCTGCAGATAGTACGGGAGAGTGGCATAATCTCAAACCTAAGTGTGGCTAATAGAAGAAAACAAGTCAGAGAAAATCACTGCCTCCAAACTTTCAGACCTTTTAAAGTCACAGGCCAGGTACTGCATGGAAAATTGTTGTTAAGAATGAGTATAGACTCACTAAAGTGCATGGACGGTGTGGTTGGCCCATGGCATTGACCAGGCCATGTCTGCAAGGCAGTGATCTTCCCCGAATCCTCTGAGATCCACCTCAGTTTCCAATATTGATGCCAGAGATGGTATCTTCCATTGTTCATTTCAAAGCTTTACCTGCCATCTGTCCCGTAAATGCTCAGGGCTTGCACATGTGTGCAGTGGCAGCTGTAAGAAATGTCCAGGCAAGTGGTGTGAGCCTTGTACACATGGACCAATACAGCCAGTACAGGTCAGCTTTCAAAATCAACTAGTGTGTTCATAATATGTTCTGTTATCTTCCTTCAGAGGGGTTATGATAGCACAGCACGCTGTTATAACACAGGAGATGCTTTACCATTGATTTTCACACTCTGAGAAAGACTTCATTAACCTTACAACTAATTTTCCGATCACTGACAAACAATAGATTCATATTGTTTTCCTATTCTGAATCTATTTAATCTTAAATTTCCTAGATTCTGATCCAGGCACAGCTGTCCCCTTCTTTTCCTTCCGCTGATGTGTTGGAATCTCACTCAGCTTTACAGAGTTAAAAATGATTTTCTCCCCATCTTTCCCTACTCTGAGCAAGTATATTCTTTAGAAAGCTCCTGAGAGGATTTTACCATCTGTAAGGGATACTGAGTGGTTCATTGATCGGTGATGCAGGCTTTGGGAAGAAACACAGTTTGGGACTAGAGAGATGACTCTCCCAGTGGTGTGCTCTTCAGGCAGGAGGAACTGAGATGTTGCTGGTGTAGTAATCCCAGAAGTCCTGCTGTGAGATGGGAAGCAGAGGCAGGAGAACCCTGCGAGCCTGTTGTCCACAGCTGGAAAGCCAGAGACTGCCTCAAGCAAGGCGGAAAGCAAGGGCCGGCCCTTGAGCTTGCCATCTCACTCCGTGCTGAGGCAGCCACTTAGGCACACTCATACAGGTCCTAGGTTTAAAAACAACAACAAAAGAAGCGTTTAATGATGCTTGGACAGTCTGACTTGAAACTTAAGGTTTAACTTTTTTTTCTTTTTTTGTTTTTTCAAGACAGGGTCTCTCTGTGTAGTTCTGGCTGTCCTGGAATCCACTCTGTAGACCAGGCTGGCCTTGAACTTAGAGATCCAACGGCCTCTGCCTCACTAGTGCTGGGATAAAAGATGTGTGCCATGTCCCCACCCCACCCCACCCCCCCAAAAAACCTGGCAGCTTAACTTACTTTTATGAGGTTGACTTTATTCTTTTTAGCTATTTCTAGCACACAGCTTTTTTCATAGCTTAAATTGTTCTTGAAGACAAGTCTGTTCAGTTTAATACTTAATGAGTCTCTGTTTTTAAAGGTGTGTGTGGGTGTCTTAATTCCTCACTTCAATGGGTACAATCATCTCCCATAATTCTTTCAAGTTTAATAATGTGAAAAAAGAGGTCATGAATGATAGATTTAAGAGTGTTATTTTCCCTGTTAATATCTGGTTGTATTTCAGAAGCACATGTGCCACTCTGTACAAAATCATCTCTCCTTTCTTTCTCACCTGGCTTTGGCTTTGGTTTTACTTTGGAGTAACCTATCCTGTGGCCCTAAAGTTGCTTTTTTTTTTTTTTTTTTTTTTTTTTTAACCTACTGCCTAAAAGTTGTGTATGAAGTTTCATAGAATTTTACTGCAGAAACATTTGTTTCATTAAAAAATGTTCATAGAGCTTCTGTTGCATAAAAGCGATTGCCTTTGGCATTGATTAGTTATTTCTTTCTTGCTGTATAAAGACACGATGACCAAGGTGACTTAAAAGAGTTTATTGGGCTTACACTTTCAGAAGCTGAGTCCCTGACCATGATATCAGAGAGCTTGGTGGCAGGCAAGCGTGGTGCTGAATCAGTAGCTGAGAGCTTACATGTTGAGACAACTACGGGGCAGAGAGAAAGCTAACTGGGGATGATGTGGGCTTGTGAAACCTCCAAACCCATCCCCAGTGACATACCTCCTCCAAAATGGCCACACCTCCCAATCCTTCCCAGACAGTCCCACCAACTGCATTCAAGTATGTGAGTCTGTAGGGTCCATTCTCATTCTAACCACTGCAGTAGTATTAAGATGCCTTAAACACAAAAAAATCAGAAGTGGGGGTAAGCAGGATTGTTCAGCTTGTAAAGGTGCTTGTCTCCAAGCCCCATAACCTAAGTTCAGTCACCGAACCCCAAGTGGTAAAAGGAGAGAACCAACTCCTGTAAGTTGTCCTCAGATTCCATATATGTACCATGGCACTCATGTACGTACACACGCACGCACGCACGCACAGACAACAGTATGTGTAATAAATTTTTAAGTAAGAAAGTATTACATTTTGTTAAGATTCTTACTGTATAACATTTGCTGATGTGCCATTTTAATGGGTTTGCATCTTTATATGGCTATTAAAATAAGGTATAAAATATGTAAAGTAAGAAAGCTGCCTAGGGCTTATCTAATTTTGCTATTTCCCTTATGCTAGGCTCGTTACATCAGAATAGATGGAAGTGTTCCATCTTCAGAAAGGATTCACCTGGTTAATCAATTTCAGAAGGACCCCAATACTCGTGTGGCTATCCTGAGCATTCAGGCTGCTGGCCAGGTAAAAGATTCAAGTCTAAGGTTGATACAAAAGTGTCATGGAAATAACCAAAAGTTCATCAATGCTAACTTTGATTTATAAAATTGCAATTTTATATCGGATGTCTGCTGTAGTCGGTATGCATTCTACTTCAGAGTGCTAGAAAATATAACAAAAGGCAGCCTCTTATTTTTATTCTTTGAAATTTTCACACATGTATATATGTTTCTTGGTCATGTCTACCCCGTACTCACTTTCTTCAGCTCTCCTCCAACACATCTCCCTCCCGACTTCATTCCTTTCTTATTAATAAGCCACTGAGTGTCCCATTAGTTCTGCACATGTGCACATGGGTGTGGAGTCAGCCATTGGGTATGGACATCCACCAGTGGCCACTCTAACCAGAGAAAAGTGACTCAGGTTGTCTTCTGACCTCTGTGCATGTTCCACAAAGACCTTAGGACCACATCCCTTCTAGAATTTTTTTTTTTTTTTTTTTTGTTTGGTTGGTTGGGTGGTTGGTTGGGTTTTTTAGTTAGTTAGTTAGTTAGTTAGTTAGTTAGTTAGTTAGTTAGTTAGTTTGCTTGCTTGCTTGCTTGCTTGCTTGCTTGCTTGCTTGCTTGCTTGCTTGCTTGCTTGCTTAGTTTTTCGAGACTGGGTTTCCCTGTGTAGTTTTGGAGCCTATCTTAGAACTTGCTCTGTAGACCAGGCTGGTCTTAAACTCACAGAGATCCCCCTGTCTCTGCCTCCTGAGTGCTGAGATTAAAGGCATGCACTACCACCACCCAGCTGGTTGGTTGGTTTTTGGAATGAGGAATTTTCATTTTATTATCCCTGGCTGACCTGGAACTCACTTTGTAGACCAAGGTTGGCCTTGGATTTACCAGCCTCTCAGAGTTCTGGGATTAAAGGTATACACCCACAATTGGCTTCTTCCAGAATTTTCCTTTCTACTCTAAGCAAGTATTCTCTCTCTCTATCTCTGTCTCTCTCTCTCTCTCTAAGACTGGTTTCTCTGTGTAACAGCCCCAGGCATCCAGAACCTCTGGCCTCAAACTCATGGAGTCCAGTCTGCCTCCTTAGGGCTGTAATTAAAGGCATGCACCAGCACGCCCATCCTCTAAGCAAGGCTCTCTCTCTTATCTAAGAGGGCAGCTCACATTCCCTCCTCAAATCTGTAGGTCAGTTGTCTTTCTGGAGAGGAAAGCACATTGCCCCTCAATGGCCAGCTCACCACAAGGAGGAGCAGTCTGTAGTCTGTGTCCGAGTTACTTTTCTATTGCTGTGGCAAAACACCGTTGCCAAGGCAATTTATTAAAAAAAAAAAAAAAAAAAAAAAAAAAGCCATTAAATTTGGGGCTTATGGTTCCAGTTCCAGAGGGTTAAAGCCCTTGACCATCATGGCTGGGAGCACAGCCGAAAACAGGCGGGCACGGGGCTGGAGCCGTAGCTGGGAGCTACTTAACTGGCAATTTTATGGGCTTTTTGAAACATCAAAGCCTGCACCAGCGACACACCTCCTCCTCCAACACGGCCACACCTCCCGACCTTTCCTAACAGTTCCTCCAACTCTAGGGATCAGGCATTCAAATAAATGAGCCTACGGGTCACTCTCATTCAGACCATCACAGACCACATTGCCCACTCACTGACAGCCAGGTGCCATGTTAAAAAGACTTGAGGACAGTAAACTTACATAAAATAGTGGCGGCTGTAGCCACACTGTATAAGAGAGGATCCTTTGGCCACTAGAACAAACATTTTGACGTGAAACTTTAAACCAGGTCATTTAGCATGTGGGCCTGGGTGGGGTGGGGGGGTGGGGGGTGGTAACTGAGCATACTTTCATGGCATACACCTGTTACGTATTAAAGATCACTCTTTACCAAGCTTGTTGAGGTGTATAAAATTCTGTGTGTAGAAAAATTATAAAGATGAAACAGTTTAGAGACCCATTAGGAGTTGTCTCAATACTTCCTTATATTGAATTAAACTTCCTAAAATCTGACATAGGGTCAGAGTATTCCAGCCATGGAGAATATTACCAAGGACCTAAAATTAGAAATGGAGTGAGTGCCCCCGTCCGGAGACATGATAAGTAAGATGAAGCCAGACAGGAAAGCCAGAGTTATTATGAGCTTAAAATATGATTAGAAATAATGACATCTTGAAATTAAGAATGTACAGGGCACTCATGTTTTATTCAAGGTTGTGCTCCTGAAGCTCTTACATAAGTCAGCACTTGTATACTTGAAGGCTGATGCCCTCGTAAGAACAAGCGGAACGACGGTGCTGTTCTGCGTGACACCTCTCTCTGACTGTAGATCGACTACTTCTTCAAATGACAGGGTCCTTACCAGCATGGCCACGTGTGAGCCTCATGGGTCTGGGATTATAGCTCAGGAATCATCTGCCTTGTTTGTTTGGTGGTTGGTTTGTTACTTTGTTTTAGGGTTTTTCCGAGACAGGGTCTCTCTACATACCCTTCTCTGTGCTGGAACTCACAGACTCCTGCCTGCCTCAGCCTCCTGAGCGCTGGGATTAAAGTCGTGCACCACCATGCTGGGCTTTTCACCTTGTGGTTTTAAGACAGGGTCTCTCACTGAGACCGGGGGGCTCACCAGTTAGGCTAGGCTGACTGGCAATGAGTCCCAGGAATCTGCCCATCTCCACCTCCTGAGTGCCAGAATTACAAGTCCTCACCACCACACTCAGCTTTTTATGTAGGTTAGGAGAAAAGAGCTCTGGTCCTCACATTCTCAAGTCAAGTATTTTCTTGACTGAGCTGTCTCCTCTGGCCCTGGTCATACATGTTTTTTAAAAGCTCAGTGGTGTCCTTCTGATAATACTGCCTGTTTTTTTCAGTGTTACCTCTACTATGGCTCTGCAGGCCTAAATAACAACAGAGCTTTAATATTGCATTTAGTTTTATCCTGGTTTTTATTACTTCTGACCCATGAAGTGACTAATTTTCAGGGAATTTGTTGCACTTTACTTAATGTTTATTCGTTAAATAGGGCAACAAAATATGATTTTGTTATAACACAAAAATATTTTAAGGTAAACTAAACATAATAGTTTAACAGTCTCAAAAAAAAAAAAAAAAAAAAAAAAAAAAAAAAAAAAAAAACCTGTCCCTCCAGTGCTTGTGAACAGCATGGATTAGATCATATTTCTAAAGCAATGCAGACTTTGCAACCACTACCCACACCTTTCGCTGTATGTGGCCCCAGGTAAGCATGCTTCAAAATTCACTCAGCCGTCCATCATAGAAGTGATGCATCTTGAGACATTTTCATGCATTGGGTGTAAAATAAGACTTAATGCTTTTCTGCCACAGTATTTCAAGTTCAGGCAAAAGCCAGTTGCCCAGAGGATACAGCGTTGCATGACACATCAACCAGACTAGAGGCAAGAAACAGCAGGGCCTTGGAGTTGTAGCAGGAGAAATGTCACAGAAGGAAACTGGAGACACATTTCTCTCACTTTCTAGAACAGTGTTTTTAATTAAAGGGAGAACATGTCAATGCTTGATGCCTAGCTGCCATGGATACTATGTGTTACAAATTATACTCCCTTTAATAATGTATTTTGTTAGATTTCCCAGCAGTAAAGTGAATCTAACTCTTCCAAAGGATAAAATGGTTCTGTTTGTGTGCTCAGTACCTATAAACCTGCCTATTGAAATGTCTTTCAAATATGTTTCCTTGTAGTTCTCTTGAGTATCTTACAATAAGTAGGTTCCATCTGCTGTCCCTGAGTTAAATCTTACTAATTTGATTTTCATTGCATGACTCACTTGTTTCAAGTTTCATCTCTGTTGCTATGATAAAAAATACTTTGACCAGAAGTAATTTAGGGGAAGGAAGGGTTTCTTTCCACATACAGGTTATACTCACTGAGAGAAGTCTGGAACTCAAGCAGGACCTGAAGCAGGAACACTGTTCCCTGCTTCACTCAGACTCAAGTAGCTTTCTTACAGAGCTCAGGGAATGGTGTCACCCACAGTGGGCTGGGCCCTCCTAACAACCAAGATGATTCCCCCACAGACATGCCCACAGGTCAGGCTGGCCTGAGCAATCCGTCAGCTGTTGTCTCCCTTCTCAGATGACTCTAGGCTGTCAAGGTGACAGTTATTTTCTCTCCTTTTAATGTGTTCAGGAAGACTTTATATTACATGTGTGTCTCATGAATATACATATACATGTATATATATCATGCTCAGCTTATCTTAGTTACTTTGTTTTGCTTAGGGTTTAACATTTACTGCTGCAAGCCACGTTGTCTTTGCTGAGTTGTATTGGGACCCTGGACATATCAAACAAGCTGAAGACCGTGCTCACCGAATTGGACAGTGCAGCTCTGTGAATATTCACTACCTTATTGCAAACGGTACTCTCGACAGCCTAATGTGGGCAATGCTGAATCGAAAGGTAATGCTTGAGTTTGAATGGTCTGTGTACTGTGTGAGTTAGGAGGTTGACTGTTAATGTATCCAGGCAAAGGCTACTTAAGTTTACCAAAATAACAATAATAGAAACTAACATCACAAAGGATTCAGTTGGTACTTCATTCCGTACCATCCTCTACTGTACCAAGGCATTGATTTCCAAACTTGGCTATTTTTTCAAAGCCTTTTTTGTTTTCCCTTTTTAAGATTTTGTTTGTTTGTTTGTTTTCGTTTTTTTGAGACAAGGTTTCTCAGTGTAACAATTCTGGCTGTCCTGGCACTCACTCTGTAGACCAGGCTGGCCTCAAACTCACAGAGATCCACCTGTCTCTGTCTCCTGAATGCAGGGATTAAAGGCGTGGGCCATTGCTGTCTAGCTCAGAGGTTTATTTTTAACTTGGTGTACGTATGAATGTATGTATATATGTATGTTTGTATGTATGTATGTATGTATGTATATCATGTCAGGGTGTGTACACATGAGTGCAGGTGTTCATGGAGGCCAGATAAAAGCATCAGGTCCCCTGGAGCTGGAGTTACAAAGGTTGTGGGTTCAAGGAACCAACTGTGGGTCCTCTGCAAGAGCTTTTAGCTTCTGAACCATCTTTCTAGCACCTGTGGAAGCCCTTTTTCTATTGTTTTTGATCTTCCGTTTTATTTGTTTGTTATTGTTGTCTTTTTTTCCTTCCAATTTTCTCCTATGCTAAGATTTACTCAGGGCTTCTACTGTGCCTCCTCACACATGCTTCACAAGTGTTTTCGTGGCTGCTTCTGCTTTTAAAGCGAAGCTAGCATCAGCTGGAACCTCACATTTGAAGGACCATGTCCTTTTTATTTCTGAGACCAAACTACTGAATATTTTCCAAAAAAGATTCTTGAGTTTTCAACTAATATTAATGGAAGACAGTCTGTGCCCTCTCTCTGGCTGTCTTTTTCCCAACACCGAAGGATGCTTCTAGAGGAGGATTTCTTAGTCATTGGGGATGCTGTAACAAACATCATACACTGGGTACTGTATAATGAATGGAATCACATTCCTCCCAGATCTAGAGGATGGGAGATGGCATCAGGGAGCCAGCATGGTCAAGTTGGGTAAGGGTTGTAGATGGCATCGTCCCGTTGGAGCCTCTATGTAGAAAGAAGGTGAGAATGCTCTCAATTTCCTCCCCAAGTTGCGTTGGTCATGGCTCCACCATCATAACTAACAAATTCTTCACCTCCTAATACCATCGCGTGAGCCGTCAAAATTTCAGTCTATGAATTTTGGAGAGACATACATTTTTAGTCTATTACCTTTTACCCTGACCTGTTCTGCTTTCCTTTCTGTTGTCCTGATTTAAAAAAGAAAAGGAAAGAAAAGAAAAAAATGACAAAAAGCAACTTGAGGGTTTATTCAGGTTATAGCCCTGACTATACCCCAGGTCATAGTCAGTCACTGCAGGGAAATGTAGGCAGGAGCAGCTCATCGTGCCATATCCAGAGTCAGGAACAGAGGGATATGAATACATGCTTACTCCTCAACTTCCTTTTTTCACCTTTTACATCATTCATAGCTCAGCTCATGCAATAATGCCACCCAATTTGGAAAAAAAAAAAATCCTCACATACGTGCCCATGGGCCAGTCTGTCTAGGCAATCCTCATTAAGACACTTCCCAGATGATCCTAGGTTGTATCAAGTAATAAAACTAGCCATTATCTGTCCCCCTAAAATCCATGTGTTTCTCACATGCAGAATGCATGCATGCCTCCTGTTCCCGTGGCCCCAGGAATCTTTGCTCATTCCAGCACTAATTATAAAATCCAACATCTCAACTGAATATGATCTAAGTCAGATAGGGATGAGACTCGTCTTGAGGTGAAGTTCCTTTCCAGTTTTGAGTGTGTGAAATCCAAACTACAGCTGTGGAAGAGATGTCTGAAAGACTCCTCCACACTCCAAAAGGAAGATAGAGGAAGGAGAAAGGGCCAGTCTAAAACCTCCCAGGGCAAATTGAGGAACGTATCAAAGCTGGTGTCAGTCCTCTTTGGACCTGTACCTTGTCTTCCAGGCCCCTGGGACAGTAGCCCTGCTTTCTGGATCCTCTGTGATGGAGAGATAGATGAGCCTCTTAGCTAGGCACTGGCCACACAGCCTGTACTGGCTTCCCGGCTGCCTTGGCTTTCAGAGTCTGTCAGGGTGGAGATAGATCCCAACTCCAGAGCTGCACGAGGCAGCCTCACACCCTGAAGCTCCGTCCCTCAGCGTTGCTCTTTAAGATCCACGTGGAGGCAGGTCTGTCACTACACTCTGCCGCGCTGCCACAGCCAGGGCCCCGAGTGCTACACTGCAGTTCTGAGCAGGGTAAGGGGCTCCCAGGCTCCCCTCACTGTCTGGGATAGCTTCGCTCCCAGTTGACTCTTTCTGCTGATGCAGTCCCGGCCGCTGCTTCTCACACTTACTAAGTTGGCTGATTAAGTTTGCAGTTCATGCCCATACCAACTGTCATATCAAATGGCCGCTTGGACATACCTCACTGTTCTCTACAAGACAGTGTTTCTCATTTCCGCAGTCTCGATGAGCCAGGAATTTCCCAAAATTAAAATTGTTACCTTTTTGCCTAACAATTCCTTCTGTATTTATCTCTTCTTGCTTACCACAAGAATTCAGAGGGAGCCATGCTGCTCCTTCAGTAAGTTCTCGGAAATCTCAGAGAGATGTAGTTTTATTGCTTGCAACTTCTTTCTTCCAGAAATAACTAGAACATTGCCCACGCAGTTAAGTCCTTGGCTTTTGAACAAAGTGACCTTTCCTCCAGTTTCCTGTAGCATGCTCCTCGGTCTCCTCTGAAACCTCATCAGAGTGGCCTTTGCGACCTGTATTCCCGGCAACATTCTCTTCATGATTGTATGTGTGTGCTCTCTGAGAAGAGAGATGCTTTCTCTGCTGCTCTCCTTGTTGGCTGACTTAAAATTCCTTTTGTGGAATTTTCTAGCATGCATACTTAAACTCCCAGTCTCTACCCTACTTTACACCGAACATTCCCAGGCAGCAACCACACTTTTGGGGCACCAATTTCTGTTTAGTTTGAACTGCTGCAACAAAATACCATAGAAATAAATAGACATGTATTCCGAGGGGCCCATGGAAGTGGGCCCCACATTCACGACCTCTCACTTCCCCATGACCCTGCCTCCTAACGTCATCACACGAAGAGTGAGGGTCCCACCATAATGAGTGGGGGGAGGGGCACAACAGACATTCTTTTGCAATGAGTTCCAATCACATTTAGGGAAAATTCCTAAGTATAAAAACATTAACATAAAAATTCCATAAAGAAAGTGAATATCGTGTCGTGTTTCTATTAAAACTCCCTAAACAGTTGCTGATTGCATTGTAATTCAAAATAACCCTGTTACTAAAGCCATGATCTGTTAAAGTAATAAGATTTTTCTCAGTGGGCAACTTTATGACTTCGGTGCAAAATCAGGGTACTAATCAGAGAGTGTCAGCGGTGGGGTGATTGTAGTAAACTCTTCATGTTTCTGTCCCCAGGCTCAGGTCACTGGCAGCACCCTGAATGGCAGGAAGGAGAGACTCCAGGCCACAGAAGATGACAAGGAAAAGTGGGGTTTTCTGCAGTTCGCGGAGGCGTGGACCCCAAGTGACAGTTGTGAAGAGCTCAGCAAGGATGCTGTGTTCACTCATGTAAGAGAACGGGGCTCGTTCTTTTCTACTTTTTTTTTAAAGATTTATTTATTATGTATACAGTGTTCTGCCTGCATGTATGCCTTTGGGCCACAAGAGGGCACCAGATCTCATTATAGATGGTTATGAGCCACCATGTGGTTGCTGGGAATTGAACTCAGGACCTCTGGATAGAGCAGCCATTTCTCTTAACCACTGAGCCATCTCTCCAGCCCCCTCTTTTCTACTTTCTTATTCATTTGTGTATGTTTTCTCTGTGTGTGCGTGTATGTGTCTGTGTGTGTCTGTGTATGTGTGTACACATGCGTGTGTGCACACCAGGTCCTCATGCTTCCACAGCAAGTACTTTAACCCACTGAGTCATCTCTCCAGTCCCTTTTTTCTACTTTCTTAATACCTGGAAAATGGATATTATCATTTTAAACAGAAATTCTCAATTACTTATGCTCTTGAAAAGCTATTTTACTTAAAGCCAGAAAAACCTGAAGAACCAAAAATTAACTGTGACACTGCACTGGCTTTTATTTTCCAGCAGTTTCAAAACTTACTGCTTAGTTCTACTGAAAAACAATCAGCGTCGAATCTAACCTTCAGAAGAGATAGTACTGAGAAAATATTTTTATGACCTTGAAGGTGAGGAAGGATAATGGTTTGCCTCAAAATACACAAGTAATAAAGAAACAGGTTGAAGTGCTGACTGCAGAAAAATGAAAACCTCTTAACTGAGGGGGCTGAGTCATGAAGGTCCTAAGTTTGAAGCCTGCTTAGACTCCATGCAACCTTCCAGCCAGCTTGAGCTACATAACCAAACCCTGTCTCAAGAACAAAGCCAATTTAAAAAAAAAAAACTTATTAATAAATTAAGGCAGAGCATACTGCTGTGACTGGTGCTATGTTGGCAAGCCTAACTGCTTTCCCAAACTCTGTGGCGAGTTATCCCTGATAAACAGTTTCAGAGCACGCGACTGTCCTGTTCCCATACCTTCCCAGTGGTTCTAGCTTTCATCCATGACTTTTGCCTGAATTGGTTCTGAATGATGGCTTTGATTTTTCTATTTATGTTTTGTGTATATTTATTAGTTGCATTCTTCTGTAAAGAACTTTTATCACTTGGGTGTGCATGTGTCTGTGTGTGCGTACATGTATGTACACATGTACGTACATGTATGCCTGCATGTGTGTATGTGCTGCCCATATCTATATGTACACATGCAGTTGAAGGCCAGAGGAGAGTATCAGGTGGACGCTCTGCTCTGCCACGCCCTGTATTGCACTGAGACACAGTCCTCTCCCTGAACCTTGAACTAGACGGGCAGCCAGCTAGTGCCAATGATCCCCTGTAGTGCTGGGGTACAGTCACAGGTTACTAACTTTGGACATGGGTACTTGAGGTTTGAACTCAGGTCCTCATGTTTGCCCAACAATAACACCTATCTATCCCTTCAGTCCCATAATTTTAGAAAGGCTTCCTTGCTTTCTGTGGAACAAAATAACTCAAATCCACGTTGTTGTTTGTTTGTTTTTGAGTTTTCAAGACAGTTTCTCTGTGTATAGCCTTGGCTGTTCTGGAACTCACTCGGTAGACCAGGCTGGCCTTGAACTCATAGATATCTGACTACCTTTGCCTCATGAGTGCTAGACTTTTAAGTTATGTGCCACCACCACCTGGCTCCATTTTGAATTTTATTTGGCCCATCTTGGAGCTTCCTTTCACTACCAGACACTATTTGAAAGTCTGGATTTTTTTTTTTTTAACTCCTTTCAAATATCACTGTTTCAGGGCACCTTTTCAATGTGAAAAGCTACATGCAAACTAACAGGTTTTCTGTGCCCAGATATTAGATTTCTCTGCCGACACCCACAGTCAGCCAGATCAAGCAGATCTGAGAAAGTATAACAACAGCTTTATTTGAGCAAAGCAACTCTCGGGTGGGTTCTTCAGTCCCAGAGATCGAGGCCAGAGAAGCCACACACCTGAACTAAAGCAGGGAGACTTTATAGGCTGTAGTCGAGGAGTGATGATGTGTCTGTCCAAATGTGGTCAAAAGCTGGGAACTTGGACTGCTGGTGGAGCAGGGGAGGAAGCTGCTGTAGTCTCCAGGAATGCGGAGCTAGGCTTTCTGGCCCCTTTTCTTAGCTGGGGATTCTCTGAGAGGGCAGGGTTTGGAGACAAGAATGCCGCTTTCCGGATCATGCAGGGGTGATCCGGAGGTTCCAACCTAACACAAACATATATATTTGCACAGAAAAGTAAATGTGTACTTTGCATGTGCCAGTCAAAGGACAAGTCACAGGCGTCTGCATTCCTCCTCTGTGTGGGTCTCGGGGATCAAACTAGGGTTGTCACAGATACTTTTACCACCTAAGCCATCCTGCCAGCGCACATTGTATTTTATTTTGCTTTTGTTGGTTTATTTGGCTCTCTTTTCTCTGTGCTTGCAGAGAAACTGGGTGTACCTCAGAATGGGCCACTGTTGAATGTTTTTTCAGCTATGTGGGGAAGGTCTGTTTGGAAACTCTAGTGGGATGGAGAAAGCAGTGATTTCTTTGTCAAGGTACTTTAAATACTATTTTTTCACTTTGAGTATTAACTCCTTACTCTGTCGTTCTCTTCCTTTGAAAACAGACTGTCTGTGGAGTTACAGATGTGAAGGGTCTTCAGTCACTGTTCCGTTCGGTGTCTGTGTGGAGGTCAGCATGATGCCCTGGTCATCATTTGTAAAGCAGCTTTATTAATTTTGTTTGAGGCTGAGTGGCAGGAGGCAGGGTGGCTCCTTACAGAAGCCTTTGATCAGAGTCCATTAACCCTGACATGGGCGCTCCCTGACATCAGTGGCCTGGTCTCTGCCGGATCAGCACCAGCTTTGAAGTGCTCTACTGTTTTTATGAGTCGGTCTGCATTTCCTTTTCCACTCCTTCAGCTCTAATAACTGACTTTTAATCCTATCATCAAGGCCAGGGGATTTTTCTCAAAGGACCCTGCATTTACCATGAGGCAAACAGAGCTGATAACAGAGAAAACAGGCACTAACCATCAGAAGCATTTTGCAATTCTTATTCCCAGCACTTCTCACCAAAGGCAATATTTTCCTTTTGTTTTTATTGAACAGGGGTTAAACAGAGGACAGGGACACAGCAAGTGCTAGCTGTGTAACCAAAGAGAGGGATTTCCTCTGTGTCCTTGCAAGAAACAGCTTTCACCTCGAAAGGAATTAAGAGAAGCTTTATTGAGATAGATATGAGTAGCCGTGGCCTGGAAGCATGCATTTGGCTTGCTCCAAATAGCAAGGTCCAACGTGGAGATGGTTCCATGAAGTTTTTACAGTTACAGAACAAGAACAAGTCATAAGTCTAAACATTTTGACACACTGGTAGAACCAGGAGGCAAGCATCTTGCCGCAGAGTAGGGACATCTCTGCTATAGTTTTCAGATGCTGCCTGCTGACAAGAGCTTTGGGCTGGCAGAAGCTTATAGTGTGTTTGTATATTCCAGAAAGCCTCACCTAAGAAGGCCAGGGAGCCAGGTGTGGTGGTGGTACATGCCTGTAATCCTAGAACTCAGGAGGCAGAAGCAGAAGGACCCCTGCAAATTCAGGGCCAGCCTGGTCTACACAGCAGGTTCCAGGCTGGGCAGTGTCCAGCAGTAGGAGAGGATGGGGTACTAAAGATTGCCCAAGAAGCTTTTGGGTCCATGTTTGCAACTTTCATCTCCCCACAGTCCAGGAAGTGCTAATCAGACATCAGCATCCTAGGCTCTTTGTCACAGGTGTGGCTTTTTTCTGGTTACTTGGATTCTCACTAGTGATGAAAATGTTTGTCTGGTCAGATCTCCTATTTAGAAACACCAACTTTTAAGTTCCTTATTTATCAATCATAAAAAGAATGGCTTGCTCTGACTAAAGGACAAATAATCACGATGAATTGGATCATGTCCGTGATACTACTACAGAGACTTTTCTAAGTGTAACAATACTGTAGCTATTCGATAACATAGCTTTACCAGCTCATAAAAATATTTTGCCTTTCTACGTCACTGCCTCCCTAAGAAAAATAATGGAAATAATAAAGTCATTTGTTTTGAAAATAAACCACAGGGCTGGAGAGATGGCTCAGTGGTTAAGAGCACTGGCTGCTCTTGCAGAGAACCCGAGTTTGATTCCCAGTGCTCAGTACACGGCAGCTCAGAACTGTCTGTAACTCCAGTTCTAGGGTACCTTCTTACAGCCTCTGTGGACACCAGGCATGCATATGGTGCACAGGCATACATACAGACAAAACACTCATACACATAATATTAAAACTGATGGATCTTTTAAAAAAAATAAGCATCCTGGCAGTGTGATATGAGTGCCAAACATTAAGCTGTCAGATTGAATATTAGAATTTGGAGATCCTGGCCTGTTATACTGAGACAAACTTCTTTAGCCTCTAAGTGACAGGGAGTCACATTATTGATAAATGTAAAATTTTTAGAAAACATGATTGTTTGGAAAATATTAGTCCCTTGTCCTTTGATGCTTTAATCTGCGCATCTAGGGAGAACTCCAGGAATGTCATTGTCACCACTCGAGAGACAGTGGGTCTGTGGAGCCAGTAAATGAGGGAACTAAAAAATCTCATGCAATAACCACCTTTATTCAGAGCCTCAGACAGTTTAAACTCTGAGGTTCAGAACAGTCACCGGAGTAAAGTTCTCATGAGTTCAAGCTGCGTACAACTGATTATAAGGACAAGTGGCAAAAGCATGTTTTTTCCATAGAGGCATATAAAGGACAGAATGAGCAATGTGAAGTAAACCCACTCCTATCTGATACCTCTGGGAGGAGCACAAAATCACATTCCTAGAGCAACTCCATGTTTTGAAGACACTGAGGTCACAGAACTCTTGGAGTTTTCTCACAACACTCGGAATTCTCCATTCCTGGACCGTTTTCCAACAGTCACCAACACTAAAAACTCAGCTTAATAATAAAGGACAGTATAGAAATCATTAGAGAAAT